AACGACTCACACAGGACAAGGCGCCCGAACGACTCACACCACGAGGAGCCCGAACGACACACACCACGACGGGCCCCGAACGACACACCACGAGGAGCCGGAACGAGTCACACCACGACGCGGGCCCGAACGACTCACACCAGGACGAGGGGCCCGAACAACTCACACCACGAGAAGCCCGAACGACTCACACCAGGACGAAGAGCCCGAACGACTCACACCACGAAGAGCCCGAACGACTCACACCAGGAAGAAGGGCCCGAACGACTCACACCAGGACGAGAAACCCCAAACGACTCAAACCACGAGGAGCGCTTTCTCTCCCTCCTCCTCCGCCTCGTCCTTCTCCCGCTCCCCCCACAAGGAGGATGTACAAGGAGGCGGGAGGAAGGAGGAACAGGGGAGATATGCGGGGCCAAGCGGACACACGCCTGAAAAACACGACTGTCGGCATGCTTCGCAAGAGTTGCTGCTGTGAGATGGGCTGGTGGGGATACGCGAAGCGTAAAGAATTTGCGAGCTTGAGTCGGAGCCGGAGTCGGAGAGAGATGGGATCCAAGGTTGGAGCTGGAAATGCGAAAACGCCAGGTAGAAAGTAGGAGGGGTACTGGTGGTATGGGGTTCGAGCGGGGAGTGGACTGGTGGAGGAGGGGGGGGACGGGAGGAGGAGGGGGGGAAAAGGCAAAAAGGCAGAGGGAGAACAAGGCGGAGGAAAGGAGGGAGGCAGAGACGAGAGCAGGAGCAGGAAAGGGCAGAGAGTGAGCCGCATCATCATCATCATCATCATCATCATCATCATCATCATCATCATCAGCATCAGCATCATCAGCATCATCATCATCATCATCATCATCATCATCATCATCATCATCATCTCATCATCATCATCATCATCATCATCATCATCATCATCATCATGATCATCATCATCGTCATGATCATCATCATCATCATCGTCATCATGATTATCCTCATCATCATTATCAGCATCAGCATCGGCATCATCATCACTACCACCATCGCCATCATCAGCATCACCACTACCATCATCGTCATCATCAGCAACAGCATCGTCATCATGACTATAATAATCATCGTCATCATCATCACACTCTGCAAAATCTGAATCAGCATCGTCGTAATCATCATCAACAACAGCATCATCAACGACACCGTCATCATCAGCAGTATCATGATCATCAGTATCGTCAGTATCATCATCATCATCAGCATCATCATCATCATCATCATCATCATCATCAGCATCATCATCATCGCCATCATCCTTACCATCAGCACCATCAGCATCTGCATCATCACCAGCATCATCACCACCACCACCACCGTCGTCATCACAACCAGAGTAGATGATATTGAAAACGCTATGGGCGCGGCCGCGTCTTGAATAATTTGCAAGTGTCCTGGGTTGTTCGTCGACCACGTGGACCTCAAAACGATGCAAGAAACGAAGCCGTGTGACTATAAAAAAACGCTTCGCGCCGAACATCTGCAAACTGTTAATTGCCAGCGTGGACACCGAAAAGTAATTGATTGGACTGTGCATGTGTAAGCCACGTGACCTGTCCGCCAGCACAGACACTCTGCCTAGCCGCCGACGCAAAAATGTATAAGCCACGTGGTGTAAGCTATGTGGTGCCATCTATGTGATGTGGGCAGTGTGGTGCACCCATTGTGGTGCAAGCTATGTGATGCAAGCCATGTGGTTCAAGATATGTGATGTAAGCTGTGGAATGCACTCAACGTGTTGCAAGTTATGTGCTGCAAGCTATGTGGTGCAATATTTGCGGTGCGAGCAACATGGTGCAATATGTGTGGTGCAAGCTACATGGTGCAATATTCGTGGTGCAAGCTATGTGGTGCAAGCTATGTGGTGCAAGCTATGTGGCGTAAAGTACGTGGTGCAAGCAATGAAAGGCAAGTTCTAAGGTGCACGCTGTGTGATGTACGCTATGTGGTGCTTGATGTAAGCTATGAAGTGCAAGCTCTGTGGCGTAAGCTATGCTATGCAATCCACGCGCTGCAAGCTGTGTGATGCAAGCTATGCAGTACAAGCCAGGTGGTGTAAGCTATGTGGTGCAACCGACGTGGTGCAAGCCAGATGGTGCAGCATGTGTGGTACAAGCTATGAGGTGCAAGCTCTGTGGCGTAAGCTAGTCGGCGTGATGCAAACTATGTTGTGTAAACTATGCGGAGAAGAGAAGCAATCGACGGAGGAGCAATCGACGTGGTGCAATCTACGGAGGAGCAATCGACGGAGGAGCGATCGACGGAGGAGCAATCGACGGAGGAGCAATCGACGGAGGAGCAATCGACGGAGGAGCAATCGACGGAGGAGCAGTCGACGGAGGAGCCATCGACGTAAGGCAATCGACCGCCGACCGCTACGAGGAGTACACTATGTGGTATGCGGCGGCGGGCGGGAATGGGGCCGCAGGGCCCGCACACGGCCCTACTATTTGGAAAAGTCGGGCGGCGACGG